AATTTAGCTTTTAAATACCAAATAAATTTGTAAAAATATGCAAAAAATCAACTTAATTATCTGGGTGTAAATATGAGAATAAAAATAAATTATTCACCAAAAATGATAGTCTGAAAATAATTATTGAATTTTGTACTATTAAAATAGACAACAAATCGATTTTAAAATCTTTAAAAATAAGGAAAAATACCAAAACTCTTGGGAATGCCTATATATGCATGTACATACTATTTTGAGAATATTTTGAGTATATATAAAAATACATAGGAAAAAATTGGGTATCAACAGCAACAAGATGAGCTGAACTTGAAAATTGTCTTTATTTTTTTAGCTTTCGTGTTAGAAGCTAGACCGTAGATTTCTCTTCTATTATTTCTGATATTCTATTTATATCTTTACCCTTGAAGCATGTGCCCTCCCCCAGTTTTAATTGTTTATTTCTGTTGCCTCTTCGTTGTATTGTATATATATCTGCACAGGTTTATCTAGAGTCTGGTCCTAGCCTCGTCACTACCTCGCCGGGGTTAGGCCAGGCACTTACCAGCACATGGGGTCGGTTGTGCTGATGCTGCACTCTGTGCTCTTTTGCACAAATCCAGGTGTTGGACAGCAGCTGCAGTAGCACGGGAGTTAGCCTACAGTCCAGCGAGACACCGAGGTAGCCTTGCTGCAGTAGCACGGGAGTTAGCCTACAGTCCAGCGAGACACCGAGGTAGCCTTGCAGGCGTCCGCAGGCCCGGCGTCTCTTCTATCTTTTATTTTAGTCTGTTATCTCATGTATTCCGAGATAAACAGTTATATTTTCTTTCAAACGGTTGTATTTAGCACTCTTAGTAGTTCGTGATTATGTGACACCAGTTCTTGGGTAGAGGTTTATGTTGATTTTTCCGCATTGTTGTTCAGATTCCTTAATTTAAGACTTCCGCTTGTTTACTTTATTCCGTTGTTATCATGATATTACTGATAATTGTTAAAAGAAGTAAAATGGTTAATGCTAAAAGTAGTTAAGGGTTGGCTTGCCTAGCTCTCATCGGTAGGCGCCATCACGACTCCAGAGGGTGGAAATCCGGGTCGTGACATTTCACCCATGTGGCGTTGTGCGGGGGGGGGGGGGGGGGGTGGATGACTTAAATTTTTGGTCAAAGACAAACTCGAAATTTAAGTAAAATGTTCAACGCCTCCTTCTCTGTCGTTGTAGCACCAGCAACAACAACAACATAAACTTGATGATGGTACATCAACATACAAATTAAAAATAAATTTCATACAAATTTGATACATCTACAATAACATATAAACTAAAAATAAATTTTATACACCTAATTATATAATACAAAACTTATTTATAACTTATCTACAACTTTCATTCATCATTTTTACCCAGTTAAATATAAATACAACATCATACAATTTAAATATAATTTTCATACAAATTTTATACAATATGTCTTCTGCATGTATCTTGTAAAAAATTTGTATATATTTTGTATGTAGTGTATTCTTCTTCATCTCTGAAATTTCAATCAAAATTTCCTCTTTTAGTAGAATTTTGATACATATCAATAACTTTATGTAAAAAGATAGTATTTACAACTTAAATACAAATTTCATACAACGATTCATACATTGTACAACTATTTTTCAACTTTCATATAACACTCAAATAAAAAAATATATAACTACAATAAAATACAACTTAAATACAATTTACATACAATTATAATACAACTTTAATACAATTTCATAAGTATATTGTATGTCATAAGTATATTGTATGGTATATTGTATGTCATAGTTTTAATTTAAAATTCAGCCAAAATCAAGTCTAATCTCACCAAAAACTCTCCAAATTGAGATATAAACTCCAAACAATGTTCTCAGTTATTTGCAACGACATCCAATCCAAAACAAATAATGGTTTTTGAAAACCTAAATTCAAATTCAAAGCTTTTTAATGACTGTATGGTGGAGAGTCAAACACCTTCAAAATTTATTGATTGTCAATTTCAATTTGAACGCCAATTGTGCAATATGAAAGGAAATTGCTAAGTTAAAACTCTATAGTAAAACGATTGAAATCCATTGATGAATTCCACTAAAAGTATACAACATGAATGGATAAAAAGTAGCGACATCAAAGGAAGAAAAAATGGGGAAAGAATAGAGAACGAAAGATAGAGAGAGAGCCCACGAGAGAGAGATGGAGAGAGAGAAAAAGGATGGGAAATAACTTATTCCTTATTCATTTCCTAATATAAAGGGATACTTATTTAAAATTAATTTGTATATAATTGGTAAATTATATATGGCCATGTAATTAAGTTAAAACTTGATTAGGGAGGGTAATAAAGTTTCATATGTTGTATAGGAAGGTAAAAATTCTTATATAATGTGGAAGAAGGTAATTATGAGCTTGACTTTAGGAACCCTAATGTCTGTATTAGCACCTTATTATGTGAAGTCATAATCATGAAATAACAATTTGAATAATTGATGATTCAAGAAGAAGATAAGCGCATCATGTGGTGCAATGTGGGGATTTTATAATGTGCTTATCCCTTTATCAACAACTAAACGCTTTTTTTCATATATTCTTCACCTAATTAATTGCCTTCTTAATAAAGACAAACCAGCCTGCTTTCATATATATTCTTATTATCCCTCAACAAGTGACAGCTAAATAAACCAGCATCATCATTTACACGTAATTTTCTACAAAAGGGAATTAAGAGGCTTCGCTTAAACCATTTCCTTTGCAAAAGTACTGATTTAGCATTCATGTTATATATGTAGATATATTTTATTTTTCCAGCTTGGCTTGATTTGTCACGATATGCTAATTATAATGCTTAATACTTTTAAAGCAGCCGTTAAACAAATATAAATTTTAAATTCTTCCAAGTTGGGAGATTTTATATCAAACGATTATTTATGCATTTAAATCCTTTTAAATTTTTCTCAGATCCAATGCAGCATGAAAGGAATCTAATCTTCTTAAACTTGCAAAAGTACGTTACATTTGCTTAAACTTCAAGAAAGTTAAACCAAAAAAAAAATTTTTTTTTTTGAAAGGGAGACGTTTAATTCAAAAATTATGTGCACCTCGGGTTATTAATAAAGGATTTTGAGCTCAAAATTAAGAAGTAGGCCAGTTGGCAATTGTGTAAGACTATCGTCAACATACCTATTAAGAGTCTGTTTGGAAAGTCACCCTGTAATTGGAATTGGTGTAATTACTAGGGTAGTAATTACACAGCCTAGTAATTACAAAGTTGTGTAATTACGATGACATGTTTGTTCGTCATAGTGTAATTACAAGTTTACTGTTTGGTTGCACAAGTGTAATTACACAGTTCGATTAAAATTTAAATTAAGTAAATATCAAAACTTACAAATTAATATAATAAAGCCTATAAATTTTTACAAGTATAAATGATATTATATTTGATATTTAAGATGTATAATTTTTCGTGAATATACATTAATTAGTAATCGTATAATTATAACTAATATTGTAAAAATAATATATATATATATTTTTTAAATTAATAATATTTAGTTTAGATACTTAAAAAAATTAAATATACGTTTTGTAAGAACATCATGGAATTCATGATTGATAAAATAAATTAATATTTATAAATATAGTGTAATAACATTATTCAAATGTTTGACAAAACTAATCTATCAATTCTAACTAAAAGATGAACAACATACAATGTGAACCAATACTACTAAAACAAGTAAATTGGAACCATGAATATAACACAATTTCAAAAATCAAAAAAATAAAATAGTTTAATATATGTCAAATTCCAACATAATAATAGTAAGTCACACTGCAACTTAAGATTAGGAAACATGATAAGTTTATAACAAAATTCAACAACGGAATTCCACTTTAATTGCATCATTCATTATATGCCAAGTTATTAATGCCTCATTATTTCTAATATTAGGAGGTGTAGTTTCAAAATATAGAATAATAGAATAAATAATAAATAAAATATGAATAATTACACGGAATCACAAGAAGTAAAGATAGAGAAATAAAAGATAAATAATGTACAAAGAAAAATATATTTAAAATTTTAAAAGAAATTAAAGAGTAAAAATAAAATTAAAAAACTAAAATAATAGAAATAAAAAGTTATAAAGAAAATAACTTAAAATAAAAACAAAAAAGAAAGAAACTAAAAGGCAATCTTGTAATTACAACGTGTAATTACAACGTGTAATTACCACCAATTCTTACCTCTCCCTTGAGAATTGGAGAGTGTAATTACACCCCTCCAATTACACCCAATTCCATGCTGACCAAGTAATTACTTGGCCAAACAAACATGCCAAACTGTGTAATTACACACAATTACACCCAAATCCATTTCCAATGTGGCTTTCCAAACAGGCTCTAAAGGAAATATTAGTAATTAAAGGCTAATTCTAGTAGTTAAGATATTTCTATTCGTATCATAATGAAATATTTTCATTTTAATGTTTCATCATTAATACTTTCCAATTAAATCTTATTTATTTCCTATTAAATGTGTGAATAAAATCACCAGGCGCGAGTGCAGAGATTTGAAACTTGTATAAGTACAATCCAGTAAATTGCTATTCGAATCATAATAAAAATATTCCATTTCATTTATTTCATCATTAATGTTTCCCAATTAAATCTTATTTATTTCCTATTAAATTTCTGAGTTTTTTTGGCAAGTGCATGATTTGAAACTTTTTTTTTTCCTTTTTCTTTTCCCCCTTTTTTTTCTCCTTTACTTTTTTCCCCTTCACCTTTAGTCTTTTATATAAGGAATTAAAAAGTGCGACAGTACTGAATATTTCTTTTTGGCATTCTTTACTGTTTCTTTTTTTATTTCATGGCATTTTTTACTGTTTATTTTGGAGAATAGTGACGATTGTCAGTGCCAGCCTTTGGCTTCTAAATAAGTCAATGTCCTTTTCCAGTTCAAAAACACAACCCCAATTTCTCATTTTTCCCTTGTTTATTTATTTATATTTTCTCTCACACACACACACTCTCTCCGTTCTGTAGTTTGCTAGAAATTGTTAAACATATATAGAGAGAGAGAGAGAGTAAGAGAAAAGGTGTAGGCTCAAATATTCAAACTTTTTCCTTATTTCTGCTGTATAAAGTATTTCAAGATCCTCATTAGGTTTTAAATCTTTAGGGTTTTTCTGCTACAAGAAGTGATTTTTAGTATAAAGGGGTTGTTATAAGTATTATTATGTCCTGAATAATGGTGCCTATTAAGTGGGAATCAAGACAGGTAAAGATTCTGCCTTTAGCATTTTCTGCTTGGTTTCATCACTATCTACTGTTATTTGCACTGTCAGTGAAATAAAGCGATTAAAATATTGCTGCCTTAACCACCGCCCCAACTTGCTGCAAGATTGCAACTTTCTGATGCACCCACCATTTTCTTGAATCTGAGGATAAAAATTGTGATTTTGGGTGTTGGATTTTTGGTTCAGAGATGGTGAAAAGAAGTTGAAAAGTTGTTGGTATTTGGTTTTTTTGTTGTTAAAGATGATTTGTTCATTTGCTGAAGTTAGGTCACAAAGATGGGTTTCTGGTCATACCCATTTGAAAAATTCTTGGATTCAACATCAAAAAGATGGTGTCTTTACATATCCCCCACCTTTGTTTCCCCCATCTGCTCCTTCATTTGGTGAAAATTCTAATTTTCACAATGAACCAAACACATCTAGTTCTTCCAACAAAATTAGTCCAGCTGTTCTTTTTATTATAGTAATATTAGCTGTCCTATTTTTCATATCTGGTTTACTCCATTTGCTAGTTAGATTCCTTATCAAACACCCTTCTTCTTCAGCATCATCTCAGTCTAATGGATATCCTGAAGTTTCAACTTCAGATGCTTTACAAAGACAGTTACAGCAGCTATTCCATTTACATGATTCTGGTTTGGATCAAGCATTTATTGATGCATTACCTGTCTTTATGTACAAAGAAGTTGTTGGTCCTAAAGAGCCGTTTGATTGTGCTGTTTGTTTGTGTGAATTCTCTGACAAGGATAAATTGAGATTGCTCCCTACTTGCAGCCATGCTTTTCATATTAACTGCATTGATACTTGGCTCCTCTCAAACTCAACATGCCCGCTTTGTCGAGGAGCCCTTTACAATCCCGGGTTTCCAATAGAAAATCCAATGTTTGATTTCGATGAGCCAAGAGAAGATGATGGATTTCGTGGTAATGCGGATCATGAGTTCTCCACTTCTCATAAAACAATTGAAATAGAAGAAGTTGCAGGTGCTAAAGCGACCTTTCCTGTTCGACTTGGTAAGTTTCGAAAATTGGATAATGGAGCAGGGGAAGGAGAAGGTGTAGGAGAAAGCAGTAGTAGTAATTTGGATGCTAGAAGGTGCTTTTCAATGGGTTCATATCAGTATGTGGTCGGTGATGTTAATCTTAAAGTAGCCTTGAGCAGTGAACGGAAGGCAAACAATATGAATCGAGCCAATTTGTTAGAGAAGAATCCTAATCCATCAATTGATGAGGATAATGAGGGGAAAAAGATAGGTATTGGGACAAAAACAGATAGCTATTCTGTTTCCAAGATTTGGCTTTGGTCGAAAAGAGGCAAATTCGCGAGTTCTTCAGACTGTCAAATGGATGATCGACCTCCTTCTGGTATGGACTTGCCATGGCTTAGAAGAACAGAAGGCATGTAGTGAATTCTGATCTCTTCATCTCTTTTGTTTGATCTTTTTTGTTAAATGATAACTTAGAGGTGAGTTTGCCTTTTGTGTAGTATTCTTTTAGAAGCAAATTCAACAAAGCATGCCATACTTGATAATCAGCTTGATTTCAGTCTTGATCCGAAAGTGTGTTCCACAGCTGTTCTTTACTATTATTCATTTGTTTCTTTAAGTCCTGTAAATTTATAGGTCATCTCTTCATTCTATTGGTTCTTGAATCCTACTCGACATGACAACATGAGTTTTTTGTTGCATCCTAATACTTTCAGCTGCCACAGTTTAGCTTAAACGCAATATGGTCCATAAGCATTCATCATTAACATATTAACCATGAAGCTCAATGATCAGAGTTAAGGGATAGCACTTGTTTCATTTGTCACAAGCTGTGTTAGAAACCATCTGTAACATGCCTAACAATTTGTAACTTAGTCCCTTTCCTCAAGCGTAAAGCTCATAATGCTATGTTCCAAAAGAACAAAAAAATGTTAAAGATAGAATAGAAAAGAAAGCTGCTAGGTTAAAAAATGTTACTTGCCAAGCACAAAGACCAGAAGCTTCCTTTGTTTCTTGAGAAAGTTGGGTGTCTTACTTTCCTCATAGTTCAAGTTGAGAGTATACAGTTACCTTGGTTCATTTTTTTTGGTAACCGAGGAATGTACAAGTGCTAGTTGGCGCACTGTTGAAACTCGGCGCGCACATCTACCTAACCCATACATCACAGGTTGTGCTCTTACCACTGAACTAAACCAAAGCCCTAAGGCCACGGTCATCTTTATTCATAGAAAATGAAGGTTTGGATTCCCTTATGTTCGCGAAGCATCCTTAAAATTTGGCTTCCATGGCCTATATATTATGGTCTTATTGACCTATCTTTTACTTTACACCCCTCACTTCAGCATACTCCACCCTTCTTTTCTTCTCTTTATCTTTTTCTTTTGGGTTGTTTGAACACAATCTTTTTGTTTTAGTGGTGGGATCCATGGAAGCATTGCTTTGTTGGAGACCAAATTAAGTGGCATCAGTTATGGGGTCATTTGTCTCCAACATATATGACCCTCTTGAAATTAAAGTCTTGCTGATTCGTGTGTTAGTGATATGATTAAGTTACAAGTAGAGATTAGATATCTTAACCCTTTCTAATTATTAGTGAATTGTCAATACTACTGTAGCCTCATGTGTTGCACTGATTAGCTGAGAATGTACTTTTCTTTTAATGGAGGAACAATCCAAAATTTACTTAGTTTTTTAAGTATGACTTCTTTTGCCAGTCGACGTTAACACATTTTATACTTCCCTATTTCTAACAATTTTGCATAATTTGCTCCACTCTCATATCATAAGGAACTTGATCAACAGCTTCAATACAGTTCTGTTCTTGAATAGACTGCATTAATTTTCTTTTTCTTTGTACCTTTCCTTCTCCTCTTTCCTTCCCTAAATGTAGGGTAAACGTTGGCACAGATTTTTTAGCAACCACACTACAGCGGCCTAAGTTACTCGGATTCGGGTGCGGGTATCCGATACGGGCACGGATCCGAGTATTAGATTCGGCAAAATCCTAATTTTAACATTTGGGGGTGCGGATGCACGTATGGATACAGGGTGCGGGGATTTGGCTAATAAAATTCCAAATTATAAAAAATAGAGCTATAAAGATGTTATAAATTTTGGGAGCTATTCTGTGAAAAACCTTCATCTATATCGTTGCTACTATCAACCAAAGTCCGAACTCAAAACACAATCCCTTGAATTCTTGTTTTTTTAAACACACAACAGCAAATATGGGACTACAATATTGAAGGTATGCCATTTTCTATGTCTTAAATATATATATTTTTTAAATGTGAGAAATCAAAATCTCAAATCTGTCGATAAAGTATCCGAAGTTAGCTAACCGAATCTCGGACGTATCCGGCACCCTCAGCCATCCCGCGTCGAAAAACGAAGAGTCCGCTAAACTTAGACAGCGGCAAGAAGCTCTATGATGGGAGCTTTCTTTCTATTTTCAAGGATTAGGCTACTAAAAGTCAAATGAGTTAGATTGTCGTACAAAGTTGCCTTTGTTTCTTCTAATATGGGAGAGTTGGCGCACATGTTCAAGACTCCGGATTACCTCTAGTGTCATGGCTTAATTCTTTGTAGTGTTTCAACTCGTGACGTGCGTCTAATCTTCATTCATATCACTGCAACCACTGAACCTGAACCAAAACCCTATGGCCCATAAAATTTCCTGGTCCTACCAAAGTCTAACAAATGATTGTAGGCACAGGTTTTACACATCCTAGAGCAAGGGGTAACTCGCATCTTCACTCAAAAGATGGAATCACGAGTGTAGATTATAGTACGACAAAAGTCCTTATCAAAGACTATATGTTGAAATTTTGCACCACATGACGACCCATATAATTGTACAGTGGACCAGGAGAATTTTAGATTTATTCTAGTATCTTATAGGCTCGGGCGTTAGCTTATTTTTGCACACATCTTATTTTCTGTGTTGACAATGAATTGTGAATGAGGAACTGTATTCTGCAATGACTGGAAACTGACATACTGGTTACCAACCAGTTAAGTGGTCCACACATCACTAATCATAGATGAAGCTAAGGGTGATTGTCGGTCGGTACGGTACGGTATTTAGACATTTCGGTTTGGTATTTTCGGTATTCGGTTTCTTAAAATGCTATACAAATACCGTACCTAATCAAATTCGGTATGGTTCAGTTTTTCACCTTTCGGTTTTGGTTTATTCAGTTCGGTAACTTCGGTTTATTCGATATGAATACTAACTAGTGCATACACAAGTGGTTTTTTAACCCACATTTTTAAAAGTTCTGTTAGGTTCTTAGAATCATAGACTAATATTCTTAATTAAAGTACTCAAAAGTACAAAATTAAAAACGTTTGTACTAGCAAATATCAATCAGAGAGAGAAAACTATACATAAAAGAATAACTTTGATCATTAGAAATGTCTTATTATTTACTTAGAGTTAATTGATGAACTTAGAGAATAAAGGAAAGTAAAATTTAAGATTTTTATATTTATGTTATAATTAATAATATGTGTATTGTGTATTATAATATATATTTCGGTATGGTATCAGTATTTCGGTATTTCATATTAAAATACCAAATACCATACCTAATACCAATATTTTTTAAAACTTAAACCAAATACCATACCGAATACCAAAATTTTCGGTTTCGGTACGGTAATTCGGTATTTACAAAATTATGCACAGCCCTAGATGAAACTTCACCTTTCAATCATCACGAAGTCCATTATTGATTATTACTAGTATTTTATCGGCCAAATACATATACAACCCATTCAACTTAGCCCCATTTTTCATTTTGGCGCTCTATCTCAACCTTGTTCTATTTTGGCCCTCCAACTCTATTTTTTATGTTCCACTTTAACACAAAAGCTGAAACCAGTGCAAAAAATATAGCGCACACAAATCTAAGGTGTAATAAATATCCAATTAAATGTTGCCACTTGGTTTTTTCATCCATATCAAATAGGTTAATACTAAAATACCCGAACCTGACCGTATTTTTTCATACACTGTTGCCCCATCTTCCTTCTCAAAGTTCCAAAGCTTTCATTTGCCGGTTTCATACCTGGCCATCCAGAAAATTTCAAACTTTTGCAATATTATTGTTCGTTTATTTATTCTGATTTTTTTGTGGGTTTATTTCATCTAAGCTTGAAGTTTGAAGTGAATCCATGTCTCAAAAAAAATTATTTTTTCATAATGGAATGAATATTTGTTCTTGTGGATTTCAAGTTGAACTGAAAGTATCATGGACACCAAGAAATCCAGGTTGTCACTTTTATGGGTGTAAATTTGACAAAGTAAGTGAGCCATTGCGGATTTCATTTTCAGTGTTGTCATTTTTTTGTGTAAAGACTTAATTTTACCCAAATACGGTCGGGTTCAGGTATTTTAGTATTGACCCGTTGACATGGATGAAAAAACCAGGTGGCAACATTTAATTGAATATTTATTACACCTCAGATTTGTGTATACACACGCGCTATATTTTTTGCACTGGTTTCAACTTTTGTCTTAAAGTGAAACATAAAAAATAGAGTTGAAGAGCCAAAATGGAACATATAAAATAGAGTTGGAGGGCCAAAATGGAACGAGGTTGAGATACAGTGCCAAAATAAAAAATGGTGCCAAGTTGAATGGGTTGTATATGTATTTGGCCTTTTTTATCATACTTCTTTTGTCTCTTGTTTTGGATCTCGGTGCTGGTTCATTTGCTCATGGTATCCTGGCCAGGTCATTGTTTGACCAGAAAGTTTTAAACGCTTTTAGTTAAACCAATTTAAAAAATAGATTTGGGGTGAATCCAAGTTAAAAGTAATAAATTCTAGATCCAAAATTAATCAACTTAGACGGCATGGGTCTGCGTCCAAGTTAACAAATGCTGAGTTATGCTCAATGACTAGTGATTAATATGAGGACAAAAAAATACAATAAATGTGATAAATAGCATTAAATGTAATAAGAAGGAATTTGTCACCCAAATGTTGGATGAGATGGATGATTCCTTCTTCTGACTACAACGTGTGACAGCAGACAAATGAAGTGGACTATGTGTTCTTGGGTCTTGTGAGCTAAGGAGGAATATTATGTGATCGAACCAAACAAGAGAGACAAAACCAGCTTTTTGTATATTCCTAATAGTCAACTCTTTACAAGATGTTCTTTCACAAAAGTTCCGGTCCCCCTTCTGTTTTCTCTCTCTCTTCCTATTTATAAGGGATATCCCTAGAAAACCCTAAAAAAGTACAATATGGGGGAATATTCAGTAGAATATTCTTATTCATAATCCTAGGAACATTCTAACAGTTGTAGCCGTTTACCCTCTGCTCGACCTCGACACTGGCCTCTCCCTTTGAGAGACTCCTCGCCACTGGACCGCGCTCGGTTTGGACCTCGGCCTCAGCTTTTCCGTCTGCATTTGCTAAACTAGACATAATTTTTAGCCATACAGTTAGTCCCTCCGCTTATTGAGGTCGTCCTCTTGTGAGTCCTTGATGAGCGAATTTTATCTGTATCTAATCACAAAATGTTCCGCCACGGGAAATGAGCTGAATTGGTCGAGGTCGCATTGATGACGGGTCGGCTCAAAGGTCGTAGTTGGCGTGGCTAAC